ATTTGTACATGAAAGTAGTTACATGGTTTGCACTCATAATTTAAATATGTTTTTTTAGAAACATATCAACATATGTAAAAATATATAGGTAATTCTTTTTTTCCAAATTCATTTGATAAATGAAATATTAATGAATTTGATCAATTTCGGGTCTAATCGGTTTCGGGTCTAATCGGTTCCGGGTTTATCCGGGTTCGGGTTTAACCGGGTTCGGGTTTAATCGGGTTCGGGTTTAATCGGTTCGGGTTTAATCGGATTCGGGTCTGAATACATTCGGTTCGGGTTCGGTTCGGATCATTTCGGGTGTTCGGTTCTATTTCGGTTCTTCAGTTTTCGGGTCAAATCGAGTTCGGTTCCGGGTTATTCGGTTCGGGTTATCGGGTCCGGGTCAGTTTTGCCAGGTCTACTAGGCGCCCCACCCCCTGGCTTGACGGGGATGATGGAGGAGGTAAATCATGGTGACTCAGTCGGTCAAGAACGTTAGACATGTGTCCACCGTACACAAGGAGCCTCCTCACCCTTTATAGGATTTTTGGATAGCTCCCACACTGCCGCTTGCGGGACTCGATCCCTGGTTATCGATCCAAGATTTCACGTGCGTTTTCGACCAACTAAGCTGCACATGCGGGCTAAGATTAATTATATTCACGGTGTACGTAAAAGAGTTTCTTGTTGTGGAATATGTTGTTGCCTTAAGTCATTTTTAATTCAATTTGTATGCAAATTAGTATATAATTTTAAAAATAAAATCTATTTATTTAAAAAATATATCAATTCAAATTGAAATGTTATGGAATAAGATGTAACAAATTATATTACTTTATCAAATTAGTAATGAAATCCTATCCTACTCCTACTCTATATAAAAAGAAAATAAAATGATATATGTTGTTTCCCGCCTTTTGCATGGCATGTCTAGACAAAAGACTAGAGGTGCAATAATGAAGCTCAATAATAGACTTCCATCCCATCTGTATAAATTTGGGCATTCCATGGCATTTAATTCACCCATTCCAATTTCTTCATCCCTGCTTTGCGTTTCCTTTGCCGCTTTCTATTGCTATACCTCATCATCCATACACGGCATTTACTTTCAATTTTTCACTCATCCAGCTTCTCAATAATTTTTCTATCTACCATTTTCCCAATTATATTCCTTACCATTACCCAAGATTTCATATCAATCCTTCACAAATTTATCTCTTTACCCCATTTCACCATAAATCCCCACCATGGCAATTCCTGTTTTTGCTACTTCTAGATGGTCCAAATTGAATCAAGTTCAACCAAAAAAGATTGATTGAATTTACAACTCCGTGCGATACGAGTGTATCATGTTCCACTAAGTGAGCTGTTTGGAGTCTTGGGAAATAAATTTTTGCAGACCGAAAGGTATTCTTCATTTTTCATGACACCTATAAATATAAAAGATGTTATAACATATAACATTTTTGAATATATAAATCTAAATTTGTTGCAGGGGGACAAGATACATTCAATTATAAAACCTCCATATATCAAAAAATTTCAATCAAAATTTAAAGAAAGAAATGTGTATGCAATCATAAATGTGACTATACTTGGAAATTGTCAATCGTACAAAACGACCAATCATCCTTACATTTTAAGCATGAGCAGAAAGACAGAACATAAGGGTATGACGGCTCTACCATTTCCGAAATTTCCCATGAAATTTCTACACAATTGCTACACAATTTGGGAGCTAAAGACGACGGGAAATGCTTGGTTCACAAACACAATGGTCACAAATTTCACAAACTTACTATTTGTGAACTCCAACAAAAAATTTAAATAGTATAAAATAATTTTAAAATGAAAATTTAAACCATAAATAGTAAGTTTGTGAATTTTGTGAGCATCCTGTTTGTGAACCTAGCATTACTCAAAGACGACAAGATGTTCCAGGGTATATTTTTCGATACTTTGTTTAATTAATGAAAGATCAGAGAAGTTGCTTCCCTTGTGCTTTGGGACAAGGATGTTTGCTACATATAGAAACAACCTTTTTCTTGTCTCCTCTCTCTTAAATGTATTTGATTTCAATATTCCATACTCTATAATTCAGAAAGTATATTCCCATTCAATTTCCCTGATTTTTTTACATTTATGACCCTAAAAAAAGGCTCACAATCCAATGTTTTTATTTAACTATCTCTTTTGGTAACCGTGTCAATTATTTATCTATATTTAAAAAATACAAAAATTCAGTTTTGGACATTTAAAATTAGACACCTTTTGTTTGCCATCACTAACTTGGACGTACTGTAATCAATTTTATAAATCCATAATACTTTTGTGGAACCCAGTTATCGTATAAATCCCACCTAAATACTTCGTATGTAGGCAATCATGACTACTCCAAGGATAATGACTACGAGATAATAGGGATGTTTGCTACATATATAGACACCCAATTTTTTCCCTTCTCTCTTAAATGTATTTTATTTTAATATTCCATAATATATTGAAACAACCCCACCTGTCATACACTATATAATTCACAAAGGTATATTCTTATTCAATTCCCCTAATTTTTTTACATTTACAACACTAAAAAAGGCTGACAATCTAATGTTCTTAAATTCTCAATCCCTTTTGGTTACCAAATCAATTATTTGACTAACTATATTTCAAAATATACAGTGGATTAAATTACAAAAATTCAGTTTTGGACAATTAAAATTATATTTCAAACTCTTATTTAATAAATAACATGTTTAACTTATCATTTAAACACCTGGGAAATTAAACAATTTCGAATTTCTCAAAACATCTACCATTCAAAGTCCTATTTTTTAATGCCTCCATCCCTAAAAGATTTAAAATCATTTGAATTTGTAATCAAACTATGGCACTCTTTGACCACAAATCATTGAAAAATTATATTTAGTAAAATTTAAAAAATTGGATTTATTTTGCAATATAATTTTAAAAGATCAAATTTTTTTAATATTTAAAATTTTTAACTATATTTAATTTATGGTCAAAATATGCCACAATTTGACCAAAATTTCAAATTGTGGCAACCTTTTAGGGAGGAAGAATAATAATTTTAAAAGTGAAACTATCATCTTATTCAACAAAAGCAAACTTTTCAAAGAAAAGCACCAAAATAGAGAACTTTTGTTTGTCATAACTGCTTTGGATTTACTATATTTGATTTTATTATTGCATAATACATTAGCCCCACCTATTCAATACCTCACACCTAGAAGTACCCACCGTACAATTCACAAGATAGGAACACATATTCCACTCCATTCAGGTCTGATATTTATAGGACATCTTTTTTTGTTCTAACAATCTTACATGTATTTGGTTGTATTACTCCATAATACATTTAAAACTCCGTATGTTTTTTCAATACCCAAAGTTCCATTAAAACTTATCTTATTCAGCACCATTTTTAATATAAAATGTCATGTCTAATTTATCATTTTTAACACACCGTAAATATTTAATATATTTATTTAGATGTTTATTTGAAAAAATTATTTAGAACTTTTAATTTTTACCATGACAAATGTTCTGTATTTAAATAAATTAAAAAGTGAAAGCTATCATCTTATTCAACAAAAGGAATGCATCCTCTAAGGTCTCAAAAAAGAAAAAGAAAGAAATAGACAGCTTTTGTTTGTCATAATTATCTTGGATGCACTTTATTTGATTTTATTACTCCCACCTATAAAATCACTGCATCTATTATAGTTCGTATAATTCACAAAATAAGTATGAGTCATATTCCATTCCATTCCATTCACACATTTATAGGACAATTTTTTTGTATCTTAACTCTCTTAAATGTATTTTCACGAAATAGACATCTTTTAGTTGTCCTAACTATCTTGGATTTATTATATTTGATTTTATTATTCCATAATACATTAGTCCCACCTGTACTATAGCTCTCACCAATCATACCCACCGTATGATTCACAAAATAGGTACACATATTCCATTTTTTATCCTAACTCTCCTAAATGTATTTGATTTTATTACTCCATAATACATTTAAACAATCCCACATGTCAATCTGTCATACACTCAATATAATACACAAAGACATATTCCACTCCATTCTGGGTTGACACTTATAGGACAAATATTTTTGTAACAATTCTCTTAAACATATTAGATTTTATTACTCTATGATACATTTAAATAACCCCACCCCTATCACATAGTCCGTATAATTCACATGTAAGTAGACGAGGCTTACATATACATATATTCAATTCCCTCAAAAAATGAAAACAATAATAACCCAAACAGAACAGTACACGAAACAAATGATCAAAAGAAATAGACATCTCCATTTAATGTTCTGTATTTTGAATAAATATATACTCCTATTCTTGAGTATGTATCTATTAAAAACTTTTTTTGGTGAAAGTTGGTCTACTTTGACTTTAAATTAATTAAAAATGATATTAGATATTAATACAAAAATAGTTGTATATGAGTTATTATATTAAATATTTTCGCAAGTTTATTTTATCTAAATAATACAATTCTAGATGAGAATCATATAAGCATTTGTGTACCAATATTCAATCTTATTTAAAAAAAAGGGTAAAAGATCACTTAAATACCTTTAAGAAAGATGGGTGGAGTATATTTAAGAAAGATGGATGGAGTATATTAAATTAAGTTGGTTCTAATGCAATAAATAAAGCTAGAGGGATATTTGTAGTATTTTAAATGTTCAAAAATTAATAGGAAGATCTATGGAGGGCACTAAAGTAATAGATCCAATGTCGGTCATATAGAACACCAAATTAGTGTATAAACAATAGATCCAAATTAGTAAATAAACTATATTTTTTTTATAACTGTACTCTTAAATTAGTGTCATATCAATTTCTTTTTTCATTTTTTTCATCATACTCTAATCATTCTTTTAATTCTTTTTAGTAAATTTCCTGTAGCATATTAATACCAAGTATTAGTAAATATTTATGTGTATTGCTTTTTATGCTTTATTGTCTAAAGATGATATTGAATTAGCATGTTAGAGTGATTAATTAATTTAATTTATTTCACTGTAGAAAATGAGCTGTGGAGTGTTTTGAAAAAGGCTTCTAGAGAAATACTTCCGAATTCATAAGCGTAAAGATATATGTGATTAGTAAATTTATAACATACAATTTTTGTCTAATCTTTAACCAATGCAAATTTTTTATAACTATCAAATCGTGTAGCCTTGCATGAATCACCATCATCATTACAATTCAAGAGAATAAATGGTGGGGTCTTCTTCTTACACGTTTATGGTGGTACCGGAAAGACATTTATTTGGAAGACATTATTTGCATCAATACTATGTAAAATGTTGCATCATGCGGTATCGCTTTGCTGCTTTTGTCCGGGAGAAGACTGCTCACAAATGATTCTATATACCATTATACCCTACAGAGAGTTCCACGTAACAGAATCATTCATTGCTTATATGTGATTGTAAGCAATCATAAATGCATGAAAATTTACTAAATCAGACTTGCATCAATATTCATCAATTTTAATATTCTTGTAAATTATAGTGGTAAAGTCAAAGATGTCGATCGTCATATTGAAAACTATTATTGTGACAATATTACTCTACAAATCTATATTTCTAGCAATTAACATCTATTTTAACTACGTTATTATAAAAAATTTGAAAACTTTCTCGCCGTGCATCGCACGAGTATGAATCTAGTAAATATTTAAAACATGACTTTGTAAGTAGTGGATATATTCTTTTTGGAACTATACAAAGATGGTACAAAGAAGGGTTCGTTTGGTACATAGAATTGATGAAATTGGAATTGAATTGGGAGTTGAAGTTCTATGAAATTGATTTGGATTGAATTAGATTCTCTCATTCTAATTCATTGCTTGGCACTACTAATTTCAAATTCACATATTTCAATGGTACCAAACAACAGAATTGGAATCGTTGTTCCCAATTCCAATTTCATAGTTTGAATTTCGTGTACCGAACGGAGCCTCCGAGCTGTTTTTAACTTTTATCTCCATGGGTCAGGAAAAATTAAGGCTAGGAAACAATTAAGTGAACACTACAAGAATTTGTCTGGTCTGCAACGGAAATCTGCTACGAACTCATTTCCGTAGCAGATCTGCAACGAATCAGCGACGGAAATGTAATCTTCGAAAAATAAACATAATCTGTGACGGTTCCTATTTTTCCATCGCAAATCAGCGATAGATTATTTTAACTTGTCGCAAATTTAAGTTGGTCAAATTTTGACCTGATAATCTGCGACGGACTCTTATATCCGTCGCAGGATATAACTAAAAATCGAGATTGTAATTTTCCCAGCCATTCGCCCTTCATTCAACCCTATCCCGATTCTCTCTCCCGTCAGCCGTCCTGCGAACGCTGCCCCTCCGCCAGCCTTCAACGCCCGTCTTCGCTGCTAACGAACGTCCTCGCCAGCCACGCCGGACCCTCGAGCTGCGCCGGCCACGCCGTCCCGCCCAGCCGCGCCATCCTCCCCAGCCGCGCCGTCCACCAGCCGTTGCCACCCTCGTTGACGCCGCTAGTACTCCCCCGCTAGCCGTCTCTCTTCCCCCGCCGGACCTCCTCTTCCTCTTTGCCGTGGAGGTTTTTTTGTTTAATTTAATTTTTGGTTAAATTGAATTTCTTTGAGCGAAATTGAGTGCATTTTTGGTGAAATTTACTTAAAATTGTGTGAATATGAGATGAAATTGACATGAAATTGGGTAAAAGTTACATTACTTTTTGGTGAAATTGATGGAATTTAAGGTGTAATTTTAGTTAAAATTATGTTAGTAAATTTGACGTTTATTGTGAATTTAGGTAAAATTTAGTTGAATTTTGTGAAATTGAATGCATTATATGTTCATATCTATAGTTAAATGATTGTTGTTTGTGGTTTAATAAGATTGTCATTTGTTAGCCGCCTTTATTGTTGCTATGGTTTGTTGGTTATAAATGTCATTGATATTCTTGGTTAAATGATTGTTGTTTGTTGCCTTTCAATTACCAGGCGTTTCTAGAATGAGTTCATTCGAAAATCGTGAGTTGATGTATAAGAAATATGAGAGAGAAGGTGTTGTTAGTCAAGAATGGGTGGACAACGTGGTTGAGTTTGTAGAGTACTGTGAGTCAAGTCCCAATGTAGATAGGTTGGATAACAAGAAAATGCGATGTCCTTGCAAGAAATGTAAGAACATCAAGTTTTGCTCATCAAAGAATATGTTGGAGCACATTTTGCGGTTTGGATTCACACCCAATTATTTTGATTGGGTATGTCACGGGGAGAATCATGGTGACTACGTACCTCCACAATGATGTAAAGTCCCTCGTCAAGCTGATGCCTCAGATGTATCACATGTGCCGGGTAGAGAACAGTTTGTACAAATGATTTATGATGCAGTCGGCCCGACTAGGATCAACTCTGTTCTTGAAGAAGAGCCAAATTCGACAGACAAGCACTTCTTCGAAAGGTTGAAAGCTGTGATACAAATCTTTGGTCCGGGAGTTCTAAGACGTCTCAGTTGTCTGGAGTTGCACGCTTGTTGAATATTAAGTCAGAGCATAATCTATCTCAGCATTGTTATGACACCATATGTCAATACATCAAAGACATTCTTCCGAAGGACAACTCAATGGTGAATGACTTTTATGAAACTAAAAAGATGATTGAAGGTTTGGGTCTTCCGGTCCAAAAGATTCATTGTTGTGTTCTTGGATGCATGTTATATTGGAGAGGCGATGAAAGTCATACCGAGTGCAAGGTGTGTCATAAGTCATGCTATAAAGACGAGACGTCTAAGATTCCGCACAGACAAATGTTCTACTTTCCGCTTACACTGAGGTTGAAACACTTGTATATGTCCAACCGTACAGCGGGGGAAATGAGGTGGCATGCCACACATCGACACGCAAACCAAGATGAAATGTGTCACCCTTGCGATTCTGAGGCATGAAAAAGATTTGACATCTGTTATGATCCCAAGATTCATTATGATCAACTTCTGTTTGGAGCATATGCATACATATCGCTATGTACAAGTAATGTTTATGAAATATACAACTATAGGTTTGGGAAGAGGATCCGGAGTTTCTGAAGTTGAGTAAGACGAAGAAGAAGAACAAAAGAAAGGGAAGAGAGGATGGTCCTGCTTTTGGGACTTATTGTGGAGGTTCAATTCTATTTTCTGAAAATATGAATCGATTGGTAAGATATACTCCCTCCGTCTCAAAAAGATTTACTCCTTTCAAAAAAATTGCGTCCCACAATCTCATACCCATTTCTATTAAAAAACCACTTTACCCCTTACTTTTTCAAACCCTACCTATCACATCATACCTTTTTCCTAATAATCTACACATCACATCCTACTTTTACCCATCACATCAAGGATATTTTTGGAAAGTCAACACAAAATTATCCCTCCCTTAATTTCTACTTTAGTCAAAATGGGTAACACTTTATGGGACGGAGGGAGTATTTTATAAAATAATAGCTTTGCACTTGTTATTCGGTGGACACTAAATTTAAAATGTAATGAAAATGTTCATTGAAACTTAAAGGCTAAGAAGAAAGGGGCGCATGTGCCGTTGGATGAGGTTATCATCCACACAAAGACAAAGAAGCACGACGGCAAGACTTGGGTGGATCCGGAACATGCTGAGCTACAGGTACTTTCTGTAATTTGCAAAACAGTTTGGGTTCATGCTCATAATGTTGGTGTTTTTGTCTTAAAACTTCTAAAGGGTGATAATGTAGTCGCTTTCTTGTGTAAATGATTTGTTTTTGTTGACGTTATTGTTACTATTTATGTTATTGTTAATCGTGTTGTTATTATTGTTGTTACGTTGATGGTGTTGTTGTTGTCGTATGACACTATTTTTGTTGTTGTGTTGATGGTGTTGTTGTTGTAGGGTTGACACTACTTTTGTTGTTGCGTTGATGGTTCTGTCAACACTAGCTAGATGTTACGTTTCTTATCGATCCATGATAATGTTGTTAAGTTCTTGTGTTGTTGTTGTTCTTGTTGTTGTTGTTGTCATATGACACTATTTTTGTTGTTGTGTTGATGATGTTGTTGTTGTCATATGACATTGCTCTTGTGTTGTTGTTGATGTTGTTCATGTTGTTGTTATTGGTGTTCTTGACGCTAATATTGTTACGATGTTATTGTGTGTTATTAACTATTATATATTGCAGGCCCAATTCTTCGAACTGCGCGAGGAGGCTAGACAAAATGGGCTTAAAGTCACTGACCAAGAAATATGGTACTCGCTAGTCGAGGGCCATAACGCGAAAAACCGCGTTCCTGGAGTTGGTGACTACGCGCGGGATATGAAGAAGATCAATCCGTCCTCCAAACCTCGCCGTTCCAGCACTAGTAGCAGCAGCGCGGCGGAGATGGTAGCACTTAAAGAGCAAAACCAAAGGCTGCAGGAACAAATTAATAATCTAACCTCAAGCTTGTCGCTGACGATTCAGGAGGAGATAAGGAATTTATATGGTGGTAACCTTCCTCCACGAAGCGATGATGATGGATTGGGAGGGGCAGGGCAGCCCGGGATTTGTTGACACCTTTGACATTTGACACAAACACTTTAATATTTAGTGTTTTTACAATATTATGAATTATGTTACATTTGCACGTGAAGTTTTAATTAATCTCGTTTTGAATTATCTATTTCGTATTGAAATCTTGTTTAGAATTATGTGTGTGAAATTTGAATGTGTGTTGCCCCCCATTTTAATAGCTATTGCCTAAAAACAGAAAAAACTGGTGCTGTGATCAAGAAGTCTGCGACGGAAAAGGCCGTCGCTGCATTTGTCGCAGATCTACGACGAACACCCCCATCGCTAATTTTGTCGCAGTTCTGCAACGGTTTGAAGACTTCTCTCGGTGCAAAAAATGGGCATACTCGTGGAAGACTTCCGTCGCAAATCTGCCACGGATTTTCATTTACGTCGTAGATCTTCAATCTGCAACAACTTTTCTGCGACAGAAAGTTTTCGTTGCAGGTCCGTCGTAGAATCTAAATCTGCCACAGAATTTCAAATTCTGCAACGGAAATTGTGCAGGTTTTCTTCTCACTTTGGGGTTCCGAGGATGCAAGAGTGACACATCTCTTTTTGTCTACTCCCGGGGACCTGACATGGCCTATCTTCTTCTTTATGTGGACGACATTGTCCTCACGGCTTCCTCCACCGCTCTTCTCAGCCTCACTCAGAAGCTTAAGGGGGAGTTTGCCATGACAGATATGGGGGATCTAAATTTTTTCCTCGACATCAGTGTCCAGCGCACGGCTGGGGGCCTCTTTCTACATCAGACTCAGTTTGCACACGAGATCCTTGAGCGGGTTGACATGCTTCACTGCAAGCCTATCTCCACCCCGGTCGACACCAAGGCAAAGCTGTCAGCCACGTCCGGCCCACCACTTCCAGATCCCACCATCTACATATTTATTGTCGGTGCCCTACAGTATCTGACTTTCACCCGTCCTGATCTCACCTATGTCGTACAACAACTCTGTCTTCATCTTCTTGCCCCACGCAGCTCTCATCTCACGGCTATGAAAAGAGTCTTGCGCTACATCCACGGCACAGCGACCCATGGCATCACCCTTCACCGCACCAGCACAGATTCCTTACAGGCTTATTCGGATGCTGATTGGGCAGGTTGCCTCGACACCCGTCGCTCCACTTCAGGGTATTGTGTTTTCCTAGGGGACAGTCTCATTTCTTGGTCCTCCAAGAGATAGGCCACCACCTCTCGCTCTAGTGCTGAGGCAGAGTACTGCGCCGTGGCAAATGCGGTAGCAGAGGCTAGTTGGGTCAGAAATCTTCTCCTTGAGCTTCATCAACCTCTCCGACGAGCCACTCTGGTGTTCTGTGACAATGTCAGTACTGTTTACCTCTTGTCCAATCCTGTTCAGCACCAGCGCACCAAGCATGTTGAGGTCGACATTTACTTTGTTAGAGACAAAGTTGCCCTTGGTCACGCTCAGGTCCTACATGTCCCCTCCTCCTCTCAGTATGCGGATATCTTTACAAAAGGGCTTCCGTCTCTCCTATTTCCTATTTTCAGACACAGTCTTGGCGTTCGACCATCTCCGGTCACGTAGTTGGGCGCATGTTAAATATAGTATGTATATATTTAATATTAATTGTGTAATCATTGTATACATGGTAGTTTCCTTGTATAGGAATTCTTCCGTAATTAGGATTCTCCTGTATTATTTATACGAGGCTTAGCCCTCCGTTAACATTCATAGAAAATAATAATTCTTCAGTCTCGACAATAGGTTGGGAAGAGTTAAGTTTAGATATAATCTTAATCTAATCAAGAAAAAATGAAATTTATCCTTGGTTAGTACAAGAATTCATGCTTAACATGTTCATTCTTTTTTGTTATTGCCAGGACTTGAATCAAAGTTTGCCTCATGTGACATTACTTTTGTGATGACACCCTCAGCCGAAATAAGAGGTTTAAGAGTCAGCTATAATCAATCTGTTAGTGTTGGGCAAGTACATGGTTATCAAAAATAAGATGCAAAAAATGGATCTGCCTCATCCCTGAGAGCTCTTTTAGAACTTGTTAGATGGTCTACTGAGAAAAGGTAATTAGTTGAGCTTGCTTTAATCAAAGATTGGTTGGGAAAGGGTGAAACCAGCATCTGGAACCTACAGATGCACAATAATTAGCATTGTTACCTCACAACATAGTTGTTAGACATCAAACTCAGTTTTATCCCTTTCACACCACCCCTTACCCAACCAACTGAGTCCCCCCCCCCCCCTCCAACACTAAAATAAACTGCTCCCCCCATTTTGCAAACGAGTTTCATTTTTGACATTTGAAAAATTTAAGAAATGTATATTTTACAGTTATATTTCTAATTTTGCTTTTAGTTGTGATATGCAAAATTAGATGAGTTTTTTTCGCGTCATTTACCCTTAAATTTTTTTAAAAGTTTTGTGAATTCCTCATGAACTTTAAAAATTGCACCAGTACCCCTTAACTTTTTAAGGTGTTACACGAATAGTTCCCATACACAAGATTTAGAAGTGCGTTAATCACACACTCATTTAGTGCAAGTAAGGATCAATCTAGAGTCAAATATCACACATGACTTCTGCAATATTCCCTTCCAAACATTATCTTCTATAATTTTAACATATATTTAAACCTTATTAGACACTTATTCTCAATTTAGTCGTTGGTAGCTGAGTTCGAAGGTCGAACATCTCGATAAAGGTCATCATCAATCGATCAATCTCTTCATCAATTCATGTCAACTTCTCTAACTTCCATAAATATGTTGATAAGTACTCCCTCCATCCCAAAAAAATTGGTACTTATTGACTTTTTGGGAAATTAAGGGAGGGATATTTTGGTGTTGACTTTCCAAAAATACCCTTGATGTGATGGGTAAAAAGTAGGATGTAATGGATAGATTATTAGAAAAAAAGGTATGATGTGATAGGTAGGGTATGAAAAAGTAAGAGGTAAAAGTGGTTTTTTAATAGAAATGTAACGGACTTTACGAGACGCAGTTTTTTCGAAACGTGTCAGATTTTTTGGGAAGCAGGGAGTATGTGATTAACGTACTCTCAAGTATAGCGTAGAGGATCGGACCATTGGTACAATGTCTTTAAAATACCTTTAGTTAGCTTACCAAAGCTATTTTAAAGAGACATCTTAAAGACATTTTAATACTCCATCCGTCTCCAATAGATCTTCCCAATAGCCCTTTTTGCCTACAATAGATCTTCTCATTTCATTTTTTAACAATTAAAATACCACAATTTCCCCCACTTACTTTATTTATTACACCTCACCCACCTCATTTAATATACTTCACTCATTTTCATTAAGGATATTATGTTAAACTTTCACTTTTTTTCAACTCTGCTTAAAAATCACCAAAAGTCAAAATGAGAACATCTTAGGGGGACGGAGGGAGTATAAAATAAAGTGTATTACTCTCTCGGTAAAAAATACCACAATTCACTATTAAATAATCACTATAATTTTTTTTACTTGTATATTTTCATTGATTATTTAATAAAATAAAATATAATTGACCTTATATTATAATTTAAATTTTTTTTGAAATATTTCTTAAATATCTAAATTTTATTTTTTGTTACTATACTACTTTTTTAAATGAAATAAATTAAAGAATTTAAAATTCCACTTTATTTTGTATGATGTGCCAAGCATTTTGATACAAAAAAATACAATAAAAATAAAAGAATGAAAATAAAAATAATATTATTTTTTAAAACTAAAAGAAGTACACCTTTCTTCCCTAAGTCATTTATCTTTTACATAAAACAAAGTAAAATCTTAATTTTTTCAATTTATTTTATTTAAAAATTAGTATTTAAATTAAATAAAAATTTAACTTAGGTATTTTAAAAATGTATGAACAATTCTAATAAAAAAAGAAATGATCAAAATATTTTATTTCATCAAATAAATAATGAAATCACACAAATAATAAAATTTACCTTGATTTTTGAATAATAAATTTTTTTAAATTTCATCTAGGGACTCAAGGAGTACAATAAATGATGGTAGGTGGTCGAAGAATCAAAGATTATCAATGTGTTAGGTGTTAAGAAAAATATGAATTGTTCATTTATCAATTAATTAGGTCATGTTCCATCATAAGTTGCAGAAACAAATTGTCCATCATCATTCATCACCATCAAGTTGTCATTTGTATAGTATGTATACTATTTGTAATAGTGTTAGCACTAAGCCTCTCTACTATAAATAAGAGGCTTAGGATCCCTGTAAATTACCATTAAGTATAAGAAGAAGAGTGAAGAGTTAATAGAGAGAAGAAATCAGAAATATATTATATCTATTCTCATAATCTTTGAGTAGTTTTTCTCTCATTTTATAACACGTTATCAGCACGAATTTTGCTCAAAATCCCAAAATCCTTGTTCTTCTCAGAAGGTATATTTATTTAATTTTCTTCATAAACAAACTAAAATATTTTCTTAAAAACTATGAAAAGTATGCTCTGTGATTTCTCAAAGTTGGGATCCTTCACATCAGAAACTTATAGTTATAAAAATTAAAATTAGATAATTAAAAGGAATAAGTTTGCTCATAATAAAAAAAATCATTTTTATAAATTAAAAGCAAAGAGTAGATTTAATACGGAGTAGTTAAGATTGAAAAAAAAAATCATTGAAATCAATGAACTTACCTTCAATTCCTTCTCTTCTTGAATTCTTCTTTAACACATTCTTGATAGAAATAGATAATCTCACTTTGTAATATTATTTCTATTCTTTATTTTACAAATAAGATTTTTTTAAAAAATTTAAGGAAAGAACATGATAATATGATATAGCATATATACATGAAGGGAATAATATACGGAGTAAAACATGACTATGAGAGGGGAGAGTAAATTACTCATTGTATGGTCCATATTTATCTTTAAAATTTAAAATTAAAGTGATATGACTAGTACAAAGATTCTTTACATATTCACATGTGTACTATGCATTATTTAGCCTAAGGAGTGTCTTCTTGTGTTTGGTATTGAATAAGTTTTGAGGTAAAATTTAAGTATACGTGTACTTCATATTATTTTAGAATTCTAACTTTTGGCACAACTAAATTTACTCAATATATATAATAATAGACTCACAAAAATATAATAATAATTTTGATCACATGAATCATCTTCCAAATAAATTATACATTAATATTTTTTTGGACTGTGCAATTGATTTGTTTAACACCACATTAGTATTAATATATATTTAAAAAAAACAAATTTATTTTGAATTTTAATACTCAGTAATTTGTATTACATGAATAGCATTATTCCTTTTAGATTCTCTGTGTTTTTTTTATTAAAAAAAATGGATAATTTTTCATCCAAGTTATTTTCATACGTATAACATTACTAATAAATTTAAACTTATTGTATTGTAGTCTATTCCATGGCCAACATCACCAAAAGAGAATTAGACATCCTTGATTTATCCGGTCAAAGGTACCTGGAATGGAGGGTTGATGCACTTGCTCACCTTAAGGCTAATGGCCTCGAAAATACAATTGCTGAAAATAATACATCATCATCTCAGCAAAAGGCAAAAGCCATAATTTTCCTTCGCCACCATCTTCATGAAAGTTTAAAATCTGAATATTTATTGGTGGAAGATCCGAAGGAATTATGGGATAATCTCCAAGAGAGATACGGACATCAACAAAAGGTCCTATTGCCAAGAGCTCAATATGAATGGATCAATTTAAGATTCCAAGATTTCAAATCTGTTTGTGACTATAATTCTGCTATTTTTAAAGTTACGTCCACATTAAAATTATGTGGACATAATATCACTGATCATGACATGTTGGAGAAAACTTTTTCCACCATGCATATGTCAAATGTGATATTACAGCAACAATACCGAGAAAGAGGTTTTAAAAAGTATTCTGAGTTAATCTCAGTATTACTTGTTGCTGAGCAGAATAATGAGCTCTTAATGAAAAATCATAACATGAGGCCCACCGGTTGTAGCCCTACAAATTTTGGCCATCCTGATCGTGGTTCAGCACCAGAATCAAATGTTATCCAAGGTGGTGCTCGCGGACACTTTAAACGTGGACGCGGAAATAACCGCAACAAAGGGCCGAACAGGGGCTATAAAAATCCAANGAAAACTTAAAAGGCAAGAGACAATACTTGAAACAAAAGACGTTCATTCTTCAAAGAAAGAAAATGAACGAACCGAGCATGTTGATATAAAAAATAATATCAACGAACAATTTGTTTCAAATGAGGATTTAACCATCTCTGAAGATGCGAATAATTCAGATGAAGATAGAAACGTTGATAATTATGAGATTTCAATAAATTACGTTTCTACGGGATTACAATGGAACAGAAAAGATGTTCATGTTGATGATATATTCGCATATGCCATTGCCACAAACATCATGGATGAAAATGATGACATTGAGCCAACTTCAGTTGATGAATGTCGATGTAGACATGATTGGCCAAAATGGAACGAAGCAATTCAGGCAGAATTGAAATCACTTGAAAAAGGAGTGTTTTTGGGCCTATAGTTCCTACGCCAAAAGGCGTGAAACCAGTTGGTTTCAAATGGGTTTTTGTGCGTAAGCGCAATGAGAAAAATGAAATTGTGAGATATAAAGCCCGACTCGTTGCCCAAGGTTTTTCTCAAATTCCGGGGATAGATTATGAAAAAACTTATTCCCCAGTAGTTGATGCAACTACGTTGAGATTTTTGATAGGCATGTCTGTATTTGAAAAACTTCAAATGCGTTTAATGGATGTAGTGACAGCATATTTATATGGATCTCTCGATACTGACATATATATGAAAGTACCTGGAGGGCTAAAGATGCCTGAGGTTTATAGTTCAAAACCTCGAGAGATGTTTTCCATAAAATTGGAAAAGTCACTATATGGACTAAAACAATCTGGCAGAATGTGGTATAATCGTCTCAGTGAATACCTGCTCAGAGAAGGATACAAAAATGATCCAATTAGTCCATGTGTTTTCATCCGTAGATTTAAATCAGGCTTTGCCATTATTGCAGTATATGTTGATGATTTAAATATCATTGGAACTTCTGATGAAATAGAAAATACTGCAAAATATCTCATGAAAGAATTTGAGATGAAAGATCTTGGGAGAACAAAATTCTGTCTTGGTCTTCAAATTGACCATGTGAAAGACGGAATATTCATCCACCAGTCAAATTACACAAAGAAGGTTCTGAAGCGGTTTTATATGGATAAAGCACATCCTCTCACATCCCCGATGGTTGTCCGCTCTCTCAATGTACATGATGATCCATTCCGACCTCGTGAAGATGATGAAGAAATACTCGGTCCAGAAATACCATACTTGAGTGCTATTGGAGCTTTGATGTATCTAGCAAACAACACTCGGCCAGATATTGCATTCTCAGTGAACTT